CCCTTTGACCGCCCCCCTTTCTTGACCACGGCCCCAAAACGAAGCTCACTGGTCCGCCACCTCAGTCGCGAGCGAAGAGAAGTAGCCCCACTGCGCCGCCTTGGCCGCAGAGTACACCGCCTGGCCGGGGGTGGGCACGCGCGCAGCCATGCTGGCCACCACCACCACGCGGCCCCTGCAGGGGCGGAGAGCAAAGGGCAGGCGGGTGTTTGTCTTGGGTTGCATGGATCAGAGAAGACAGGCGCGGGCGCTCGGCAATCGCCGGAACACAGCGCGTCCGGGGAGGCGTCTGAGTCGAGCAGCTATTGTTGGAAGATGCTCCTGGCCGCCAGCACACACACACACACACATGCCCGCGCGAACACACATGCACACACACACGCGCGCGCACACACAAAGACACACACACAGCAACAACAAACGGGCCCTGCGCTCTTCGGGGCTCTCACCTCCGCCGCGCCAGCATCTGCGGCAGCGCAGCTCGCGTCAGGGCGATGGGGCCCAGCGCGTTGAGGCTGAGCAGCTTCTCGGCGACTTCCCGCGACGTCTCGGCCGCCAGCGCGTGCTGGCTCGCCCCTGGCGCGGCGGGGCGGGGCGGGGCGGGCCGTGTGCGCGTGAGAGGTCGTCGGCGGTGACGGTATGACGGGGACGGCGACGCTGCAAAGCGCTCCGAGCAGCTGCCAGGAAGCTGCGGCACTCTGCCTACATCAGCTGCCCCCATTGCGGGCCCCCAGGCCCCCCACGAGCCCCTCAACCCCTCGCCCCGCAAACGACAAAACCCTGGCCCCCGAATCCCCTCGCGGTCCCCCCAAAAAACCACAGAAGACAGTGACATCACCCACCCGCGTTGTGCACCAAAAAGTCGACCCCAGCGCTGCCGAACGCCGCATCGGCCTCTTTGGCCGCCGCCTCCAGCGCCGCCTGCGGCCCCTCCACATCCAACGGCAGCAGAACGATCTCTGGCGCCGCCGCGCGGCCGCCCGCGCACGCCTCCTTTGCGCGCTGGGGCGTGCGGGGGCGAGGGCGGGCGAAGGCAGGGGTCGGGCCTTGGCGGCTGCAGCGAGCTTGGGGGCAGCGGCGTGGCGCCGCTGCCGGGGCGGCCAAGGCCCCTGGCCCTGTCACCGCCGATTTGGCGCGCGTCGGTTGCGCGCGTGGCATGCTGACGGGGCTTGTTCCGCCCACCCTTCAAACCTGCACACACGCACACACGCGCACATGCACACACACACACGCACACACATACACACACTCTCTCTCATTCTCTCACCCTCTCTGTTCCTCCCCCTCTTGAAAACATCTACACATGTCTCGCTCCTCACGCACACATCCACGCACGCACACACACACACACACACCTGCAGCTTCTCCAGGCTCCTGGATGACAGTATGAGTCGCGCCCCCTGAGACGCCAGGTAGGCAGCCAGCGCCTGCCCCAGCCCCTGAGAGGCCCCCGTGATCCAGACCACCTTCCCCTCAAATGCGGCCCGCCGGTGGCCACCCCTGGGGGAGAGGCGTGCAGGAGCGCGGTGGGTGGGGGTCGGGGAGTGCTCGGGCTGGGCCAGGGCAGCGACACGGGGTGCGCGGCGTGGGTGGTTCGTGGGGCGCCCGCCGCCGCAGGCAGGGGTTTTGGGGCGGGCAGGGGAGCGGCCCCGCTCGTGTGGGGGTTGATGACCTGGTGGGACAAGACGAGGCCTGACTAATCATGTGCATGGTTAATGAGATTTGATGTGATTGCATCCATTAGATTGCTTGTCAATTAAAGTTCATATTTTTTCGCACCTGAGCAGCAGCCCCATGTCGGCGTCGGCAGTGACGAAGCGCGCGAGGGCCGCGACCGCCGCCCCCGCCGCGAGCGCGGCCGCCGCGCCGCTCATGCCGACGCTCGGCGGGCGCGGGGCGATGGGGACTGGCTCAGCCACCACCTGCAGCAGGCCGCTCTGGGGTCCGGGGCCGGGGGCTGGGGCGGCCGGGCAGCGCCGGCGGCGCGAGGCGTGGGGCCGGCTCAATGCAGGTGCACGTGCGAGCTGGGACAATTGGTCGCCGCTGCCACCACAAGTCAAGGACGTACGGCGTTCGATACTATCAGCGGCTGAACAGCGTCCACAGCTAATCCGATGGGTGAAGAACATCCAATCGGTTCAGTGAGCTCGAGTCACTGTGTGAAGTGGGTGATCTCGAGCATCAGCATACGGTGAATCTTGACTTCGGTGATTTGGCATTGCACTCCTTGGATTTTCCAAAACATATCCAGCACAGGGAAGCGAGCGACGGTACTCACGGGTGTTTGGATGGTGCTTCGTGTGGTGGCCCCTGATCGCTGCAGATACTGGGAGTAACAGAGGAATCCTGTCAATTGATAGATGAAAGTGAAGGTTCAGTGGAAAAGTGGGCAGGAGTGATCTCGAGGCTGCAACTCCCAACTGAGCCAGCCCCTCTCAATGGCGCTCAACATCCGGCAGAGGCAGTGTGGTGAGCAGCTGAAGTTTCTAGATCGCCATCAACGGCGGTGCTTTCGCCCCGCAACAATGCGCGCATGTGATAACGCATTGCTGCGCGCCCCGCTTCGGATCCACCCGCCGGTGTGCGCATGCGCGTCTCGCCCAACCCCGCAACCCTTCCCCCCCGCAGATGCGCTGCTGCGCATGCTGAACCTCCACGCCGACCGCGGCGCGGCCCCCGGCCCCGGCCCCGCGGCCGGCGCCGGCGCCGCCCCCGGCTCGGAGCTCTACAAAGTACTCATCCTGGACAAGCCCTGCCGCGACATCGTCGCACCGCTGCTGCGCGTCAGCGACCTGCGGCGGGCGGGCGTGACGCTGCACCTCGCCCTGGAAGCCGAGCGCCAGCCGATCCCCGGCGTCCCGGCGGTGTACCTCCTGCGCCCCACCCCCACGGGCGCCGACCGCGTCGCCGCTGACCTGGCGGCCGGCCTGTACGACTCGGTGCACCTCAACTTCGCCACGTCAGCGCCCAACCAGCTGCTTGAGCGGATTGCGGCGGGCGCGGCGGCGAGCGGGAACCTGGGGCGCGTGGCGCGCGTGTTTGACCAGTATGTGTCGTTTGTGGCGCTGGAGCCGGGTCTGTTCAGCCTGGGGCTGCCGGGAAGCTACGTGGAGCTCAACGATCCGGCGGCGCGGGACACGCAGATTGAGGTGCGTTTGTTTCTTTGTTTGTGTGTGTGTGTGTGTGTGTGTGTGTGTGTGTGTGCGTGTGTGTGTTTGGGGGTGCTGTGGCTGGGGCTGGGGCGCGGAGGCAGATAGCGGAGGGGGAACGGCCCGGCTGGCAGGGGAGCGGCGCTCTGGGGACGAGATGGGGAGCGGCGGCGGCCGCGTTGCAGGGATCATGACGGCGGCCGTGCAGTGTCGCAGCGGCCCGTCTGCGAATGCAAAGCGGCCTGGCATGGGACAAGGTGCTGCTCAGCCGCAGCTCGACCTCTTTGCGATTCGTCACCCGGCGCGTGCCCAAACGCCCGCGCCGCCGCCGCCCGCGCCGCCAGGCCGCGGTGTCGTCGATCGTGGAGGGGCTAGTGTCGGTGCTGGTGACGCTGCAAGTCGTCCCGATCATCCGCTGCCCCCGCGGCGGCGCTGCGGAGCACGTGGCTGCGGCGCTGGAGGGCCGACTGCGGGACCTACTGAAGGGCCGCAGCAACCTCTTCAGCGAGCAGCCGGCCGGCGGCGGCGCGGGGGCTGGTGGTGGCGGCGGCGGCGCGCTGGCGGCGACGCTGAGCCGGCCGCTGCTGGTGCTGTTTGACCGGAACTTTGACCTGAGTGTCATGCTGCAGCACACTTGGAGCTACAAGCCGCTAGTACAGGTGCGGGCTTGGAGCCGGCGCCGGCATGGGATGAGCGGTTTTGGAGATGCACTTGCTGTGCAGCAGGCTGTAGCGCAGCTGCGTTGGCTGCATGGGGTGTTTTCAGGGGTGGGAACGGGCGGCGCAAGCGCGAACGCCGCTCCAGGGGAAACAGCCGCTCGCAGCGACGCCGGCGGCCTGCGCAGCAGCGCAACCTGTGAACACAGCCGCGCCGCCGAGCACGGACCCCAGCGACAACGCCGACCGCCGGTCAAACCGCCAGTCAACCACCGGTCAACCGTTGGTCAACCGCAGGACGTGCTGGGGCTGCGGCTGAACCGCGTGACCCTGGGGTCGGGCGAGCCGGCCGCGGCTGCGGGCGCGGGCGCGCCGGCGGCGCCGCTGCAGCAGCAGAAGAAGGGATACGATGTGGATGAGAAGGACTTCTTTTGGGAGGCATGCGGCAGCATGCCCTTCCCCAGGGTGCGTTGGTTTTGGGGGGAGACACAGGGCATCTATTGTGTGTGCATGTTGTGTGTGTGGGGCGCGTTGCCGCGGCGCCGTTGCGGCGGGCGCTCGCCTGGCCCCGATCTCCCCTCTCCTTGCATAACGTGACCCGTGACTGCAACGTGTGACATGTGCCCGCATCATGTCATTCACGCCCTTCCGCCAGGTGGCGGAAGAGGTCGAGTCGCAGCTTCAAAAGTACAAGGCTGCGGTAGACGACATAAACGCAAAGGCGGCCGCAGGGGGGCACCAGGTGACGGCCCCTGGCGCATCTGGGTGTAGGGGAGGGGTTTGGTGGGGCGAAGAGCCTTGTGGCTCACCTGTGCAGTGTGACAGCAGTGTTTTGCTTATGAGCAGCGGCCTTTCAAAGCAGATGCGGAGCACGCACCCCGCCTCGACGGCCGCCGGCCTCCCCGCAGCCAGCCCCCGCGCCCGGCCACGTGCACCCCTTTTGCTCTGGCTCCGCGAGCGCGCCTGAACTTGCGGATGCCCCCGCGCGACGCACGCCCTGTCGGTCAAACGCGGTCAAACGCAGCATGGCGAGGTGGTTGACCACGACGAGCAGCTGCGGCGCAACACGCAGCACCTCATGAGCGCGGTGTCCAGCCTGCCGGAGCTGCAGGTCAGGGCGTTGCGCGTGTGTGTTTTGTGTGTGTGTGTGTGTTTTGTGTGGGAGTGTGTGGGAGTGTGTGTGTCTGTGTGTGTATGTGTGTGTGTCAAACAGGGCGGATTTTGGAGAAAGCGAAGAGAGGGGGTCGTGCGCCCCTGCCCGCGGCGTTTGGGTGCGCTCTCGCGCCGCTCTTAAGTTTGGTGGTGAAGGTCTCACACAATGAGACACACAAACACAAACACAATCACACACACACAACCATCAACCCCCAGGAGCGCAAGAAGGTGCTGGACAAGCACACCAACCTGGCCACGGCCCTGCTGGGCGCCATCAAGGCGCGCGGCCTGGACGGTCTGTACAACACAGAGGAGGAGGCGCTGGCGGGGAAGGGCGATGCGGCGGCGGTGGTGCGGCTCATACAGGTGGGAGGGTGGCGCACGTGTGTGTACGCGTGTGCGTGTCGGTGAGCGCGTGCGTGCGTGCGTGTGTCTGCTGTGTCCGCGGCTCATACAGGTGGGGGGCGGAGAGGGGGTACAGTGTGTGTAAGGGTGGGGGTGGAAGAGGGTGGGGTGCGGTTGAAGATGAAGGATGTGTGTGTGTGTGTGTGTGTGTGTGTGTGTGTGTGAGGCGGACAGGGAGTGTGTGTGGTGTGTGTGAGAGTGTGTATAAGAGTGTGCATGTTTGTGCGTGTGTGTGTGTGTGCGTGTGTGCGTGTGTGCTCACACGCGCGCTCGCGTGTGTGTGTGTGTGAGTGTATGTAACGGGATGCTTCTTTTCTTGCGGGGGTGCGACTTGGGATGTGCTACCAAAGGGCTCGCAGCCACGGGCACACCTCGGGGCCGACGGTGCGTGGCGGGTCCGCCGTCGCGCGGCCGCGCGCGGGCGCGCGTGCAGCTCAGGCCGCACTCCCAAACGCACACGACACTCGAATCGCCTCGCGGCGGGCGACTCCGGGCGCGCAGCAGCCGCCGCCGCTTCCAAACAGCTGCCTCCGCCCTGCAC